CATATATATACACACACACAATTTAAAATGTAGACTAATTGCTTTGAGTTTTTTAAACAAAATCAAGCCTTTGTTGGGCTACTCCATATAGCCTCGAACTCAACGCTAATTCTGACATTTTGAATTGAAAAATCTTCCTGGATGGGAAGAGAAACGTCTTCAAGGTTGGAAACAAAGTCCAGTGGATTTTTTTTTTAACTTTTTCGGAATGACTATGACCTGGATGACTGAGGATCTTCACCAGCACACCCAGTGGGTCATCGACTCCTCATGTCTGTGTAGAGGGAGGGCGGGGCTTAATGTCTGTAAGTGCCGTATGAATGTCATTGTCCACTTATGTCCATTTATCCAGAACTCCACCATTATGGGACAATAGAGGGGTTTCTTACTCTATAAGTGCTCCTAAAGTTGAAAACAAATCGGGCGTGCTTTGGGGGCACATTGGTTAGTGCACACGACTCATGTATGGAGGCCTTAGTCCTCGACGTGGGCGACCCGGGTTTGAATCCGACCTGCGGTCCTTTCCTGCATGTTTCTCCAACTCTCTCATACCCCCTTTCCTTTCAGCATGCTGTCCATAAAATGAGCCACTAGTGCCATAAAAATAAATAAGAAAAGTGAAAACAACTCCAGAATCATTAGTAGGTAGGAAAAGGCTCTTCAGTGGCCTTTGAGCTGTGGAGGCATAGTCTGTTCTCCCACAGACAGACTGAGGAAAGGCCAAAAGTTCAGTATAAACCCTCTACTTATTCATGTTTTGCATGTAATAATTTATATTTTTCTCCCACTTTTCCTCCTAGAGTCCCCACTTCAGAGACCACTGCTTTAAGAAGCAACATTTTTAAAGGCCATAAAAATGTTGGAAAAAACTAAATATAATTAAACTCTGTAGTTGCAATATCATTAAAAAAGATCTAATAATATCAGTAAGTGACCTTGAATTTGGTTAAAGTTTGTATTCTGACCAGCATTAGGACTTTATATTGAGAGTCATTCATTTTCGTTAAGTCATTTATCCCCAACTCTACAATTACTGGAATAATATCCAAACTTGAATTCAAACCAAACCCTAAACCAACCAGACTTTGGTCTTGGTAAGGCCCGTCAGTCCTCAGAAGGTTAGTAAATAAAGTAGAAACCAGTGTTCTTCATGAACACTGGGTTCGCTCTATACGTTCATATTTTTATCGCAGTTCTCGCAGTTTTGAATGTGAACAAACGTTCACTCTGAGAATAAGTGAGACACACAGCTCACGATGGCGTTCTACTGATAACGACACTTTTTATTTGGTGACGTCTGGTTTTACAGAACTTATTACGGCAAACAGCCTGACAGAGCAGCTTGTCTACTGGTAGAACTTCAACTAGTTCTTTTCTAGGTTTGGGAACTTTGTTCATTTTTTGAAAATATGAACTATGAATGTGAACTAGTTCATTTTAATCTGAACTGAACTGTAATCTTGTTCCTTTTTAATTATAAATTGGGATAACACTGGGATGCTCAGTGACACAGTGGGAAGCACTGCTGCCTTGCAGCAACAAAGCTGCAGGTTTGATTCCCGGCACAGGGTCTTTCTGCATGGAGTTTGCATGTTCTCCCGGAGCATGAGTGGGTTCTCTCCGGGTACTCCGGCTTCCTCCAACAGTCCAAAACTGTCCAAGACTTTTAGGTTAATTGGCTTCTCTAAATTCTCCTTAGGTGTGAGTTTTTGTGTGAATGGTTGTTTGTCTCTGTGTTGCCCTGCGACGGACTGGCGTCCTGTCCAGGGTGGACCCCACCTCTCACCCTTAGACAGCTGGAGATAGGCACCAGCCCCCCTCAGCAGGGATAAACGTGACGGAAAATGGATGGATGGATGGCAAAATATTGCGCCATAGAAACACACCATCTCCTCCCAGTCCAACAAAGGGACGACTGCACAGTTTTTTGCACTGATGTCAATAAAATAAATCTGACTGACACTGGAATGTTTGAAGAGGTGCAATAAAACAACATTTCTTTGTATCCTGTAGAACCTCAAAGCTTCCTCTTCTCAACAAGGCAGATCTTTTCTTGCCTTTAACCGGATTTTCCTCCCTCTTTGTGTTCTGCTTCATCGCCACAGTGTATGAAGAAGAAATGCATGAAGTGTACGACCCTGTAAACAGTGCATCCAGGCAGTTTTTTTTTTACCAATTCTGATATTGCACGCATTGATTTTGCAAAGACAATTGTTATTCAATATATCATGCAGCCCTACTCTGAATGCACACAATATTTCCAGCTTAGTTATATAAAAATCTTGCTGTTGCCAAGGGAGCGAGCAAAACAGGAAGCAGCAGAATGTGTCGTTTCTGGAGAGGGTAAAGTTTTCACCAGTAACCGGCCACACCTTGAGAAACGTCTCTCCTGTTTAACTGCCAAGTTGTGAGGTGACATTTGGCCCGGTGAACGTAGGCGCCCGTGTGTGTGAGGACACTCGCCAGTGGCCTCCATCACCAGCAGCACTCAGCACCTGATGTCTGCGACTCGGCGGGAGACGTAAACCAATTAACGATTCATTAGGAGGGACAAAGAAAGCAAATTAGCCACCACCTGGCCCCATGGAGGGGGCACCTGCACTAGTGCGTATGTGGGTTACCCGCTCTCAGATCACACTTAGGCTCCAGCTCTGTTTGTAAACCAGAGTAAAATGGGATGGGGGGTCTCTGACTGACCCCCAGCCAATGCCGTCCGTCGTCTGTAGATCACAGCCTCAGTCGTATCACAAGCAGAGGGCTGCTCCTCGACAGAATCACTGCACTTGAAAAAACATTCATTTTGAAAAGGCTGAAAACACTTATGAGAACGGCGGCGGTGCGTCTGAGCCGTTTAGTGGGGTTATAAATAAGGCGTGTGGAAAATAGCATGAGACCCAGAGCCTTTGATTTACTGGAAATGGCTGGCGCGTTCCCTGGAGAGGCATAACGACAGCATCATGTTTAAAGAAATATCATAAAGATCAAGAGCCCCCCCCCCACTCACTCCCACTCAGAGGAGTTCATGGAAAATGGAAAAGGCTGAAGCCCAATCAATACAGATGCTGCAGCTCTTAGCAGGCTCCCTGATTCACAGCTGTTGCTCCATACAGCCGTACCCCTGTTTAACCCCCCCTTCAAAAAAGTGTTCACACCTTCTGAGCTTTCACATTTGGTCACAATAAAAGACTAAAGTGAATGCTTTTCACTGGGATCATATGTCACGGGTCAAAAGTGGTATTTCACTGAAAAGTGCAAGAAAGTGACTAGAACACTGGAAAAACGATCTAGAAATAAGTCGACATTTCTTAAATTAAGTGTATTTACATTTTACTCCTAAAATTAAATAATTAGAGAATATGCACTTGAGATGAGAAAATGCAAATTTTTTTTTTCTTGTAAAGAAAAGTGTATTACTTACCTCTGTCATGATCTGGCCTGTTTGTTCTCCCTTAATTAGTAATTCCTTTAACCTGTCGTTTTCCCTCCCTGCCTCAATTATAATTTATTCCTCTCACCTGTTTCCTCTGGTTTATAGTCGGTTCAGCCTGAGCATTCAGGGCCAGATCATTATTTGTTTTCTGTTAGCTTCTCTGTTCAGTTTATTTTCTTGGTTCATGTCCCTGGATCCTAGCAGCCAGTGGAAAGAGGTTTTTGTGTTTGTCTCGTCTCCTAATTGTCCACAGTTCCTCCCCTGCTGAGTCCTCTGGGTTTTTGGCTCTATATGCGGAGAGGTTCAGTTTTTATCTCAGTAAGCCTGGCTCCAGGGAGGAGAC